TAATTATCCCCCCCAACGGTGAGCCTCAAGCCTCAAATAATATTTTCTGTTTAAATAATTATTCCACTCGGATTTATTAGTTATTAAGGTCTTTGTGAATCCCCCTAAATACTACTTCTATTTTCAGTATCGGTCCCCTAACTTCTTCCCCCTTTTTTCTCTCAATGAGCTCCTCCCCTTATTATTATTTTTTTTTTGTGTATTCTTTCGCGTGTCGCCGCAAGTTGGCTGGCCTTACCCCTTCCCTAGATTAATATTAAAAGGCCCTTGATTATTAATTTTGTCATTTTCTTTGTTATGATATTTTTATAGTTTCTAGAAGAAGTGTTAAATACAGACTATTGTTCAACGAGTTCCATCCGGGTAAATAATTTCCCCCATTTCCCCTTTACTTCCTTTTCAGGCCCTCCCTTAACTTTATTAATTTTTCCGGAATTATCGTGCCTTGGTCGGGAATTTTCCAGGCGAATTCTCCGGCCAAGGTCACAGCTGTAACGTGGTATTTTGACCAGTTACTGTTCCTCGACCGTTTCGCGTTAGTTATTTGACTTCCACCAGACGGGAAGTCACCTTCGATGGCGAGAGTCCTGAGAGAGAGGAGAATATTAGACTGATTTTATTTTGTTTTATTTTGAATTAAAATTACGCGCCACTGCGTTCCTGCTGAAGACATCATTGAGGATCTCGACGAGGCTGGAAGATGTCATCAGGCTCTGATGGAATTTTGGCAGTGACTGATTTATGGATGTGGTCGTCGATGGAGCCACAATCCAGGGAACACATTCGCAACACATCAAGGAACTGACGCAGTTTTGCTGAGCACGAGGCTGAACCGATTGGCATTGAATGGAAAAAATAGAATAACATTTAATCACGGAGAGTTACTATTCTCTCAAGGTAGTTTGGAACGTGAAATTGATTAAGATTTTTTAGGCAGCGCTGAGAATTCATTCTCATTTATGATAGGCAAGAAATTTAATGAAAGCATCGCAAAACTTTGTAGCGCATGCTTGCCAAAAATATTATCCATGTCGCGCATGCCCGTTCAATTGGGATTGGTGGATGATGACGTTGTCATCCCCCCCAATCATCTAATTCATCGCGTTACCTACCTGTTGCCAATCCACGTGCGTTTTGGAAATCACTTCCCGTTTGGTGGTTAATTGGAGCGGACCTGTGACAGATTTTGAAACGAAGGCCGCTAAGTACGTTAAAGGACGCCATTCCGACGGTTTTGTTGATTCTGAACATTTTGGAGAATCATTAAGAGATCTGGGTGAGCGTGGTGGCCGTTCTTTTATTGAAAGTATTTTGTTAGTGGGCAGAGATTCGATAGTTGATTTATTTTTCATGTTTCGGACATCCGAGTCCTGTAGGACTGTACGGGAATCGTCTCTATCAGGAAATCTCCGACCATTTTAAGCAGTGATCATTTTGGCTATCTCTCTCTGGTGCAATTAATTATTCAGATTGATTTTATTTTAAATTTTGTTATTTATGCATTTATTAACATTTCAATTCCCAATAATGACAAACAACGATGATGACATGCGTATGTCAATCCTTTAGTAAGAACATCAGCAGGCATCTGATCCGTAGACGTGTAATCCAGCAATATCGATCCCTCGTCGATATTCTCACGGACGAAAGCATGACGAACGTCCATATGTTTGGGTCTAGAATGTGTCGTCGAGCTATTCATCCGACTCTGAGTACTTTGGGAATCATTCCAAATCTTAATTCCGTCGCATGTTAGACCAATCGATGACAATAATTTTCGTAAATAGGGTGCCTCACGTGTTGATTCTGTGATTGCCATCAGTTCAGCATCCGTCGCAGATAATGCAACGGTACGTTGTTTTCGGGTCTCCCA